TGAAACCCTAAAAATCCTAGAAGACAACCTAGGCAATACCATTCAAGACAGAGGCATGACTAAAATACCAAAAGCAATGGCAAAAAAAAAAAAAGCCAAAATAGACAAGTGAGATCTAATTAAACTAAACAACTTCTGCATAGCAAAAGAAAATATTTTAGAGTGAAAAAACAACCTACAGAATGGGAAAAAATTTTTGCAGTCTGCCCGTCTGACAAAGGGCTAATATTCAGAATCTACAAAGAACTTAAATAAATTTACAGGAAAAAACAACCCCATCAAAAAGTGTGCAAAGAATATGAACAGGCAATTCTCAACAGGATACATTTATGCAGCCAACAAACATGAAAAAAAGCTCATCATCATTGGTCATTAGAGAAATGCATATTTTTATAGTCTTTTAAAAAATTATTTAATATACTTTAAGTTTCGAGGTACATGTGCAAATCATGCAAGTTTGTTACATAGGTATACATGTACCATGGTGGTGATTTGCTGCATCCATCACACCCTCAATTACATTAGGTATTTCTACTAATGCTATCCCTCCCCAATTCTTCCACCCTCTGCTATTCCTCCCCTAGCATCCCATCCCCAGGCCCTGGTGTGTGATGTTCCACTCCCTGTGCCCCTGTGTTCTTATTGTTCAACACCCACTTATGAGTGAGAACATGTGGTGTTTGGTTTTCTGTTTTTGTGGCAGTTTGCTGAGAATGATGTTTTCCAGTTTCATCCATGTCCATGCAAAGGACATGAACTCCTCCTTCTTTTTGGCTGCATAGTATTCCATCGTGTATTATGTGCCATATTATCTTTATCCAGTCTATCATTGATGGGCAATTGGGTTGGTTTCAAATCTTTGCTATTGTGAACATTACCCGAATAAAAATACATGTTCACGTGTCTTTATAATAGAATGATTTATAATCCTTTGGGTATATACCCAGTAATGGGACTGCTGGATCAAATGGTATTTCTAGTTCTAGATCCTTGAGGAATCATCACACTGTCTTCCACAGTTCTTGAACTAATTTACACTCCCACAAACAGTGTAAAAGAGTTCCTATTTCTCCACAGCTTCTCCAGCATCTGTTGTCTCCTGATTTTTTAATGATTGCCATTCTAACTGGCATGAGGTGGTATCTCAATGTGGTTTTGATTTGCAGAGAAATTAATAAACACACTGTTAACTTTGGGCTTAGAGTTCTAAACTGCAATGAAGCAATACCTTAAAGTTTAGATAATTTTATTTTGAATTTAGAATCGTGTATTCAACCAAGTTATTATTTGTAAAACCTAAGATAGGTATTTCTGGACAATACTTGTATTCCCATAGGAATGTTACTTGAACAGATGGTTAATCAAAACGTGGGAATTAACTATGAAAAGTTAGTACTTCAAATGCAGGAAGTAGAGGATCAAACCAGGAAAAGTAGCTCTGATAAAACAGCAATGTTCTGGAAGGAAAACAATGGATCTAGGATGGAGGAGCATAGGAGTTAGACTACCAAAAACACTATGTTAGAATATTTTTGAAAAGCTGTGTTTTGTAATATCAAGAGAAATTTCAAAGAGGATTTTATCTTAACTGAATATGAAAGTAAAGAAAGTTATGAGTTTACTTTAAAATTATTTTTTAAATTGGAAAATAATGCTTGGAAATAAGTGAACCACTGTTCCCAAATGGTCCTCAGTGTTACCATAATAAACAGGTATTGTTTGCTAATGACAAAAATAGCCATCACTTAAAAGGCATGCTACATCACCATGTACTCTATATAGATACTTTGCTTGCAAAATAAAGCAATTGTTTTCTTTGTACATAGAGCATGACAATTTCATTAAGGTATAGAGATCAGAAAGGAAGGTTACACCAAGCAGTTACCCACTTTTATTCATATTAATCAAAAGCTAGAAGCAACCTTGAATGGGTGATTAGATTAACAAACTGAGATACAGCCATACAGTTAAGTATTATTTATCAATACACACACCAAAAAAAAAAAAAAAACCCGTGCTAAAACAATAAGAAACTATAAATGAATTTTAAATTCTCACTGTTATATAAAAGAAACCAGTCTGTAAAAGCTACCTATGGATGATTCAAATTATAGAACATTCTGGAAGAGGTAAAAAAGTGTAGCAAAGATAAAAAGGTCAGTGGTTACCATGAGTTGGAGAGTGTTATTGGCTGACTTCAACATATGAATTCCCTACAATTCATATGTTGAAAATGTATATCTATGTTATTTCAGAATGTGACTGCATTTAAGATAGAGCCTTTAAAGTGCAATTAACTTATTAGGTAACTGGAGTTATTAAATAATTTAGAGGTTGGCCCTAACCCAATCAGACTGGTGTCCTTATCAGAGAGAGAGATTAGGACTTATATAGAGGCATCAGGATGTGTGTGCTCAGAGGAACCACCATATGAAGAGGCAGCAAATGAATGGCCAACTGCAAGCCAAGAAAAAGTTCAAAAGGGAAACAAAGCTTCTGATACCTTGACTGCAAACTTTTATCCTCTAAAACTGTTAGAAAGTAAATTTTGGTTGTTGAAGCGACTCAATCTTTGGTATTTTGTTATGTCAACTGGCAAACTCATGCAAGGAGCCAGGGAGAACCTTGAATAGTTAAAGCACAGGAGATACTTTAGAGTGATGAAACTATCCTGTATGATGTGATAATGGTAGATACATGATATTATACCTTTTTCAAAACTCATGGATTTTATAGCACAAAATTGAAGTTTAATGTATGCAAGTTAAAAAAGTTAAGTGATTAGCGAATTCCATGATGGAATGAAGATTATTACAAAACAGTCGAACTATGGATTGTAAAATGTATGAATGCATGGCAGCCAAATGTTGCAGATATTGTAAATGATTCATATATGTTAGGATAAATGCAAAAGCATTATAAATAAACAATGTTCTCTAGTTATTATTGATTTTTTTATTTTCCATGGGCATATGGGTCAAATTGTAATTACAGCATATAAAATGCTAAAATTTTTAAAATTAAGTGAATATATGGTGTAAGGGTTATTGCTGAGTTTAAAATGAGGAAACAGGCCAATATAAGAAAATGAAAATCCAATTTATTCAGCTCTCGGGTGAGGTTCCATGGTCCTGGGGAAAGGGGCCAGGGAAGTCGAAACAACTTCCTGGGGCATGAGGTTTTTATGGCTAGGAGGAACAAGCAACAGCTGGGTGCTCTGATTGACTCCAGGGGAGCGGGATTGAACGGGTCAGGTTTTCCGGTGGGAGAACCAGCCCGGAGCCTTGCATCAGCTGGAGCCTTCCAGGGGAGTCCTGTGGCAGAGCTAGGTGCCGAGTGCAGAGCCTGGTGCCGGGTGCAGAGGTGGGTGTGTCCAACCTCCCTGTGAGGCCACAGGCCTTACACATGGTAATATTGGGAACAAATCTATTTCACTTCAACATCCTCCCATTAGTAATTTGCTCATCCACCAGACAGAAAGCAGTAAGAATACATCTAACCTGAATACCACTATTAACTCAACAAATGACATTTATATAATACTTCATATAATACTAGGATATATATTCTTTTTCAGCCCACATGAAACTTCAACCAAAAGAGACACGTTCTGGGCCATAAGACACAGTTAGATAAAGTAAAAAGTAGAATTATACAACTAATATTATCAGATAAACATGTTGTTAAACTAGAAAGCAATAACAGAAACATAGCTGCAAAATATTAAATGACTAAACAAAACACTTTTAAATAACAGGTCAAAATGTCTCAGTAGAAATTGAAAAAAAAATATTTTAAAACAAATGAATATATAATTTATCAAAATTTTTGAAGAGAAATATTTAGAATTAAATGTGCATATTAAAATCAATAACTATGCTTACAACTTAGAAAACTGGAGGGAGGAGAGCAATTTAACCCCTAAATGAAGACAAATAAATAAAATTGAAGCAAAAATAAATGTAATTGAAAAAAGGAAAATAATGGAGAAAATGACCAGAACCAAAAATCTGAGAAACTCAAATACCACAGAAAAGGTAGATGGGAGTGCTTCTCTGCTCTGCTCACCTCTCTGCCAATCTAATGACTGCCAAACTGTTGGGTAGCCCCTCTGACCTCATGATGCAGAGCAATGCAATTTGTGATAATTTAGGAACTTCTCAAGGAGAACTGGGGGACCAGCTCACACAGATTGCCCTCACTCTGCTCTGACCCGAACAGATATGGCAGGTGCCATACTAGTTGTGCAGCATGACCTCCTGAAAGCACCCAGAAGCAAAGCCAAACAATCATATACGATATAAACCACAGTCATACCCCCAAGGTAGAAAAGCATTAAAAAATTAAGAAATCCTAGGCCAGACATGGTGGCCCATGCCTGTTATTCTAACACTTTGGGAGGCCAAGGTTGGTGGATCACCTGAGGTCAGGAGTTTGAGACCAGCCTGGACAACATAGTGAAACACCATCTCTACTAAAAATACAAAAATTAGCCTGTCATGGTGGCAGATACCTGTATTCCCAGCTATTCAGGAGACTGAGGCAGGAGAATCACTTGAACCCAGGAGGTTGAGACTCTGTCTCAAAAAAAAATTAAGAAGTTCCATAGAAATGTTAACAAATTTAAATAAAAAGTTGACTGCTCCCTCAGATGATGATAAGGAATCGTCACAAGAACTCTAGCAATACAAAAAGCCAGAGTGTCTTCACACCTTCAAAGCATTGCAGTAGGCCTCTAGCAATAGATCTGAACTAAACTGCAAAGTCTAAAAAGGCAAAGAAATAATTCAAACTCTGGACTGCAGGAAAACTGAATGAGATCCAAGGGAAAGTCAAAATCCAACACAAGGAAACCAGATAAATGATTCAGGATGAAAAATACAAGATAGCTATATTAAAAGAAAAATAGAACTTTTCTCATTGAAAAATTTACTAAATGAATTCCAAAATACAGTTGGAAGCTTTACTAATAAGCTCCACAAAGCAGAAGAAATAATTTTAGAACCTGAAGGCTGGTCTTTTGACTTAATCCAGTCAGACAGAAGTAAAGAATATTTAAAAACGAACACAGCTTTGAGAAATATGAGATTACATACTATATCCAAACCTATAATTTATCGGCATTCCTGAGAGGAAAAAAAAAGTAAGAAACATGGAAAACATAATTGAGAGAATAATTCAAGAAAATTTCCCTAGTCTTACTAGAGTAGTCAACATGCAGATAAGAGAAATTTCAAAAAGACTTTTGAGATACTGTACAAGATGACCAAAGTCAGGGCATATGGTCTTCAAACTGTCCAAGGTCAGTGTAAAAACAAACAACAACGACAAAACAAACCTTAAAAGCAACTGGAGAAAAGGACCAAATCACCTATAAAGAAAATCACATCAAATTAGCTGCATATTTGCATTCTTGTTTGATAGTATTGTTTTGGTCTCAAAAAATTCTCTTTATTATTAGTCCAGAAGTCTGAATTACAAATATCTTGTGTAGAGAATTATATATCCTGACATTGTATTTTTCTTGCAGATTATGTTAGGGTCAAGTCCAGTTATTTAATATTTAATACCTAATATTTTGCTCAGATATTATTGTTGCTAAAATCAGTGTAAATGTTTTTAAATGAGACTATCAAAACAAGCTACCTATGGGAGAACATATAAGAAGCACCATTTCGATTGAACTGAAGTCCTTTCTGTATTACTATTAAACTCCACAAAGATAATAATTTAAGAAAGTTAAAGTATGCATGATTAAAAATTAACAACATAATTTACCCATATGCCTGTTTGTCCCTTTAATATATTAAACTCCTTTACCACATAATTTTTAATTAAAATATATTTTTTATAGTAACATGTAATTTTTATACATTACTGTAAAAATACAAAATTTTATAGTTTTTTTTTCTTCAGAGTATGTGTTTTTCCTAATTATCAACTTTAAGAATCACCTAAAATGATTTATTTCAGAATCCCACAGTTTGTATCCTGCACTCTTGAAGGTTTAACAAGAAAATATCTTCAGATAATTGCTTGATATGGTTTTGTTCACAGCATGGTCTGACATATTTGACAATAGTTCTTTTTTTACATGCCTAGTAATAAGTAATGTATCTCTACTTGTGGCCAATTTCTAATGTTGTCTTTGATGATATAAATAAGAAATGTAAAATAATACCACATTACCATATTAAAAATTAAGAAATGAAGAAGGAAAATTCTAAAAACAAATATTTTGTTTAAATTATGAATGTTGGTTTACAGATGAATAAGGAAGATGGAGAATACAAGAGATCAGTAAATGATAGAACATCTATTCTATGATCTCATTATGTAAATAATGCCTTATTTGTATTCCATACAACAATTTGGGGTACTTATAGAATAGACCAGTTTCTGTCTGTCAGGAGAAAATGGAGATGTATTTTAACAGACTTCATAAAAGGATAATTGCATTGCAAAACCAAACAAACATATACACACGCAGAAAAAAAACGAATAATACTTGGCACTAGAAAGCGACATCTGTGGTGATGACTGCAACTGGCTTCTCCCACAGTACGTGACAGGGCTATCTGGCAACAATCTGTTTAACAATTTGACCAATGAAAATAAATTGGATACAAATAGCCCATGACAGGTATAAGATCTAACTTGACTCGGAAGTTGGCAGGAAGACACGATGGTACAGAGAGATAGTGCCTTTGAAACAGTTGAGGAGGTCACAGGAAACTCTAAGGTATTTTATATTGTAGTAACTGAACTATGTGCTTTATTTTTAACTGCTCAGAGTCTTTTATAGCCACATAATTATATCATTGTTTTATCCATTTTTAAAACATATCAAAAAACATATCCACAGTCACTATTCTAAAAACTGAATGCCTTCTATCAGACCATTCCAACATTCAAGATGATAAGAATTTACTAATACTCTCTTTAGTTAAGGGAGCTCAGGCTAAACCAACATGGTCTATCCAGATAGTTTTCTAAACTTCTGAAGCATTCAGCTCTGAAATGCTTCCCTCATGTCATGTTCAAAGTTCTTCTAGTTCTTAAATATTATCTAAGCCTACCAGGAATTAAATGATCTTGGGGAAGTTCTCTAAAATCTTTCAGAAAACAATTTACAGCTATGTTCCCCAGCTCCACCCTTTAACGTTGACACTTTAACTTCATTAGGAAATAAACTCAGAGCCTTTTCTAATGATTAAATAGAAAAACCCAATGCTATTGCTCATTGAGTCATTCCTTGGAGGATCATAGTTTTCTTTAATCCTGTATTGGTAAATACGTAGGATCATTTGACAAAATACTTGGACTTAATAAGACTCAGGGACAAAAATGAATTATCTGGAAACCCTAACACCTCTCTGTATTTAAAAGGCTTACCTCCACTATCAAATTCCTCTTTTTATGGCTTACCTGCTGCAAAGAATACATGTTGAAATTTAGTCACATCAAAAAATAGTTTTCAATTTCTATTTGCATTAGCTATGTGACTAAGCATGTTACTTACCTCCTCTGTGCAACCGTTTTCTCAAACTTAGAATAAATAGTTTTGACATAATAATATACATTTTCCCTGTTTTTACTTTAAAATTTTATTGCTGAAGTTGAAAATAAAATTTTTTTAAATATCCCTGAGTGACATTTAGCAGTAACTTTCCAAAAGAAAATTGGATTATTGCAACCTACTTAAAACAAATTTCCATTAGAAATGCCAACTGTCAATGCATATCCAAATATATTACTGTGAGCTTTCATGAAACTGTATCAGTTTTACTTAATAAGATTTATTGAAGAGGAATGAAGTTTTATTTACCATGCTTTTATGTGAATAGATCAAAATGTTTACATATTGAAAATGAGGGGGGAAAATAAATATAAACAGGAAAATTGTTTTGAGTTTTACATTGTTATTTCTCCATTTTTTTCCACAAGTAACTGTTTTTCAATTTTTTGTTTCCAATAATTTCCGGTTATATACAGCATGGTACTAAGTGAGTTAAAAATAACTGCGGGAGTTTCAGAATTATTTAACTTGGCATTTTATGGCCCATGAAGTCTAAGTAAAATGATTATATTTTAATATATGTATAAGGCAGATAATTTATAATTTTCCTGGATTTATTTTAGATATACATTTTATAAGTGACAAAATGGCTTTTACCAATATAAGATATTAGTTTGTGGCAGTTTTATCAGAGAGCTTAAGGCTCCAAATGCATGTTATGGAGAACAGGGGAATGTAGACATAAGGTACTTATCAATGAAAAATTAATCTCTATTCATAGTTCAACAAGACTTCTATACAATGAAAGAAGCCAACAAAATAAATAAAACGTACTATGAAAGGACTCTAAAAAGCTGAAACATACAAATTAGAATCTGCTATGATCTGACGATTCTCTGAAATTCATGAGTTGAAACTTAAACTCCATGTGGTGGTATTAAGAGGTGTGGCTCTCTGGGAAGTAATTACTTCATGAGGATTTCACGTCCATGAAAGAAACAGTGCTTTATATGAGGACTGGAGGGAACTAACTCCAGTGCTATTTGTTCTTCCACTCTTCTGCCATGTAAGTGTTTGTCTCCTTTTGCCCTTTTTATTCCTCCCACTGTGTGAGACACCTAGGTATAGATAGGAAATGATACCAGAATAATGGGTGTTGCTCTAACAAATATTTAAAAATGTGGAAGCAGCTTTGGAACTGGGTGATAGGTTGAGGCTGAAACACTTTTGAAGCAAATTATGGAAAAACCCTAGATTACCATGAACAAACTGTTAAGGATAATTCTGGTGGAGACTCAGATGCAAAGAAATGATGTAAGAAAAGCCTCATAAATCTTAAAGATTCTGTAAGTAGTCATAACCATAAATCTGGTGGAAATATGGACAGTAAAGATCAATTTGATGAAGTCTTAGGCACAAATGAGAAATATATTAATGCAAACTGAAGGAAGTAACATCCTTGCTTATAATCCAAAAAAATTCTAAGACCAACAACCAACTAAATGGACTGCTTCTCTCAGCCAAAGTTATTCCAAAGTTAACCTGAAAAACCAGTTCGGGACATGATGGAAAGTGACGGTCAGATATGCCTTATTATACCCTCCTCTCTTTGAAATTCAGGGACAGCTGACCAACATAAACATTAAAAGAGAGGCCTTAAGACTGATAGAATAGCCAGGTATGATGGCTCATGCCTGTAATCCTTACACTTTGGGAGACTGATGTGCGTGGACTCCTTGAGTCCCAGAGTTCAAGACCAGTCTAGTCTTACGTCTCCCTAAAATGTCTGAAACCAAGCTGTAGCTTCATTATCTTGGACACATGTTTCCAGGACCCCCTGAAGCTGTGTCACAGGCGTGTCCTTAACCTTGGCAAAATAAACTTCTAAATTAATTGAGACTTGTCTCAGATACTTTTTGGTTTACATTGCTAAAAAGTGGCAATACAGTTCGCTGAATTGTCTGTGCCCTGATATTTTGCAGAAGGTCTCTGTAACCCAGCCTGGAGTGCAGTGACATGATCACAACTTCCTATAGCCTCAAACAAACTCCTGGACTCAAGTAAGCCTTCTGCCTCAGTGCTCTGAATGATTGGAGCTACAGGCACGTACCACCATGCTCAGCTAATGTTTTGTAATTTTTTTTTTAGAGACAGGGTTTTGCAGTGTTGCCCAGACTTGTCTTGAACTTCTAGGCTCAAGTGATCTACCTGCCTTGGCGCCCCAAAGGGCTGGGATTACAAGTGTGAGCCACCACACCCAGCTGGCAGAAAGAATTTCTAAGCACTGTGTTCTGGGCACTGCATGGTTCTCTTGACTGCCTATAGTAAAATGTAAAAATATATAAATGAATGAAAGAAAAAGTTTAAGATTAAAAGGGAAGCAAAACTTTAAAAATTAGAAAAAAAAAATTCTCAGCCTGGTCATCTAAAGAATGGGAAGTCCTGTTTGGGAAAGAAACCAGGGGTGTGGACAAGCAAATTTATGATAGGGAGATTAGAATGAACAGAAGGAAGCCAGAAGCTGTTCATTATGACAATGAAATAGTAATCCTAAAGGCATTTTGAAAATCTCTGAGGCTGCCACTCTTATGCCCAGCCCAGATTGGTAGGGCTTTGGGGGCAGAAAAAAAACTTTTTTTAATTGCATTTTAGGTTTTGGGGTACATGTGAAAAACATGCAAGATTGTTGCAGAGGTACACACATGGCAGTGTGATTTGCTGCTTTCCTCCCCTTCACCTATATCTGGCATTTCTCCCCATGCTGTCTCTCCCCTCCTCCCCACCCCCTCATCCCTCCTCCATTTCCCCCCAACAGACCCCAGTGTGTAGTGCTCCCCTCCCTGTGTCCATGTGTTCTCATTGTTCAACACCCGCCTATGAGTGAGAACATGCGGTGTTTGATTTTCTGCTCTGGTGTCAGTTTGCTGAGAATGATGGTTTCCAGGTTCATCCATGTCCCTACAAAGGACATGAACTCATCATTTTTGATGGCTGCATAATATTCCATGGTGTATATGTACCACATTTTCCCTGTCCAGTCTATCATCGATGGGCATTTGGGTTGGTTCTAGGTCTTTGCTATTGTAAACAGTGCTGCAATGAACATTCATGGAACGATTTATAATCCTTTGGATATATACCCAGTAATGGGATTGCTGGGTCAAATAGAATTTCTATTTCTAGGTCCTAAAGGAATTGCCACACTGTTGGCAATCCCACCAACAGTGTAAAAGTGTTCCTATTTCTCCACATCCTCTCCAGCATCTGTTGTCTCCAGATTTTTTAATGATCACCATTCTAACTGGAGTGAGGTGGTATCTCAATTTAGTTTTGATTTGCATTTCTCTAATGACCAGTGATGATGAGCATTTTTTCATGTTTGTTGGGCAAATTTTAAGTAAGAGCCTAGTGTGCTCCTTGGATTAGGGCTCACTGCCCAGGGACACATGAAATCTTTATCCCCTTCTTTCCAGTGCAATGCTTTTTGCCACATCGGCTGTGGCTTAAGCAACCCCAGTTGCAATGCAGGCAGACACAAGCACTCAGAAGACACAAGCATTCCACTTTGTTGGCATGATGTGGCCCTTACTATGATGACATGTAGAGTGTACAAGTTGTGGAGAAATGGCTACTTCCACCTAGATTTCAGAGCATGCTCTGGAGAGCTTCACAGTTGAACCAAATAACTGCCACAGGGTTTGGACTGTTATAGTTTCTGCTAGGGAACTCCCCAGTGAAGCCATGGGCTCAGAGCAACTGTGAGACACCATTAGGACAATGTGTAGTGGAACCATGGAAATGGAGGTACTTCTGAGACCTCAGCATCACCAGCATGCAGTGTTCCATACAGGCATGCAACTGTGATGTATATATCTTAGTGTATTTTGCATTGCTATAAAGGAATACCAGAGGCTGTTTATTTTTTTAAAAAAGGGAGTTAGTTTGTTCATGATTCTGCAGGCTATACAAGAAGCATGTGTCTGATAAGGACCCCAACCATGGCAGAAAGCAAAGAAGAAACAGGCATTTTACATACATGGAATGGTATGGGGAGGGTGACACACTCTTTTAAATAGCCAGGTCTTGCTTGAACCAAAATATCAAAAACTTACTCCTCACCTCTGTGACAGCACCAAGATGTTTCTGTGAAATCTGTCCTCCAAATGCCTCCCACTAGGCTCCACCTCCAACAATGGGGATCAAATTTCAACATGCAATGTGAAAGGGACACATATCCAAGCTATAACAGCATGAGAACTGAACCATGGGCTGCACCCAGCACAGCCATAGGTGAGAAATTGCCCACGGCCATGGGGGACTAACCCATATACAAGTGTGTCTGAAAGGCATGACATGGAGCCCAAAAAATGATTCTTATTAAGCCTTAAGATTTAATTTGATTTCACATGTTCACAGATGGAGAGCAGTTTGCCTTAGGATGATTCATATCTTGAGCCTTACCCATATGTGATTTACACAAGACCCTAGACTTTAGGTTTTTGAGTTGATGCTGGAAAAGATAAGACTTGTGGGGATTTGGGGTGTAATTTATGTATTTTTCTTATGAGAAACACATGAATTTTCAGGGACAGAAGCAGAATGCTATGGTCTGAATATCCTTCAAAATTCACAAGTTAAAATTTAATCTCCAATGTGGTGGTATTAAGTTGTGGGGCCGGTAGGGAAATGACTAAGTCATGAGGTCTACACCATCATGAATGGATTAGTGAATTATAAAAGGGACAGAGAGAATTAATATATGCCCTTTTTATTCTTCCATTCTTCTCCCACATGATAAGTCAGTATTCATCCCTTTTGCCCTTTCTGTCCTTTACACCACGTGAGGACACCTAGAAATATGCCATGTATGAGGAACAGGCCTTCACCAGATGCCAAATCTGCCAATGCCTTGATCTTGGACTTCCTGGCCTTTAGAACTGTGATAAATTAATTTTCTTGTTTATAAATTTTCCAGTCTCAGGTATTTTCTTGTAGTAGCACAAACAAAGACAGCAGCCTAATCCATACAATTCAGTAATTATCTATTGACTAGTTACTGTGTAAAGAGGTTGTGTTTTTGCAAGAAATGTTCTTTGGACATTATATTGAAAGGCCATTCAATAAGAATCACTATGCTAATGTTACATAATTGACAAAAATAATGAATAAAAAACACTCTAATGAAGATCTAATAACCAGTAATAATAATCACTATTGTGTGCGTGCATCAAATTCTTACTATACCAGATTTCCAGTATTCATTGAGGATAATTACAATAAAGACAACTTGAAAATTACATTTAAGTAGCACAACACAGAAATCAAGAGTAAAAAACTGGAAAATATATACAAATTTCTACTTGGGACATAAATTTGAGAAGATAAATATGACGATATTACAGTTTGCAGAGTGATAGCAATTGGATTCGTAACAAGAGTTATTTTAGAGGCATATAATGGTAGATGTCTTATTTGTCGTGGGTCACCTGAGAGCCACACAGGACAGGGGAACTTCCCTCCAGCCAAGGGAGATGGTGAGTGAGTGTGCTACCCAATGGGGGAAACTGTGCCTTTTCCATGGAACTCTGCAACCCGCAGATCAGAAAATCCTGCTCGCAAATCCATGTCACGGGGGCTTAGAGTCCCAACCCTGGAACATGTAGATTCTTACAAACAAGTTAAGATGGCAGGCATAAAAGTAAAACAAAGCTAATGAGAATAATGGTCATATGTTATATGATGCATAAATGGAAAATCAATAGATACATTAGATTACTACAGTATGTTGTGGCAAATCCATAAAACTTGTTCTAAATAAATAATTATCTTTAGGAAATGTCCATTACAAATATTTTTTAAATTTAGTTTTAGATGATCAATATAATTCAAACCCTCATTAAGTCAAGTTTGTGAAAATTTTTACAAACTTGACTTAATGACCCCATCAGAAATATTGAAAATGTATTAATCTGGAAATAAATATTAGTTTTTATTATTTCCATTTAATTATTTTATTTTATTTATTTCAGCCAAACTTTGCTGATCTTTTGGATTGATTTTAAATTAACAAAATTATTCAGGGGTCCTGGATTTTCTACTTATGCCAAGGATGAGTGGCATATCTTATGTAACTTAAAAATAAATTTTAAAATAAATTGAAATGTCCAGTAACACCATGTAGAACTTTCTGTTTATTTGTTGCTTTGGGACAGGCCAGAAATTGTAGCAGGAAAGTGTTAGGGATGCTTACATATCCCAGTAATAAGAATGTCTACTGTGTGCATGCATCAAGTTCTTACTACACTAGATTTCCAATATTTGTTCTTTCAATAAAGAATTGAAGCTTCCCATGACAAGACAGAGTCACAGCTTTATTCTACTAGACATACAAAGAAGACTTGGTACCATTCCTTCTGAAACTATTCGAAACTATTGAAAAGGAGGAACTCATCCCAATTATTTTTATGAAATGAACAACATCCTGTTACCAAGTTGGACTAAAGACTTAAGGTAAAACCCCAAACCATAAAATCCCTACAAGAAAACCTAGGAAATACCATTCAGGACATAGGCTTGGACAAAGTCTTCATGACAAAAATGCCAAAAGCAATTTCAACAAAAACCAAAATTGACAAATGGTATCTGATTAAAGAACTACTGCACAGCAAAGTATCATTAGAGTGATTGGACCACATACAGAATAGGAGAAAATGTTTGCAATCCTCCATTTGACAAGATCTAATATCCAGAATTTACAAGGAACTTAAACATATTTACAAGAATGAAAACAACCCCATCAAAAAGTGGGCAAAACATATGAACAGATGCTTTTCAAAAGAAGATATTTACACAGTCAACAAACATAGGGAAAAAAAGCATAACATCACAGATCATTATAGAAATGCAAATCAAAACCACAATGAGATGGCATCTCACACCAGGCAGAATGGTGATTATTAAAAGTCAGGAAGCAATAGATGCTGTTGAGGCTGTTGAAAAATAAGAATGCTTTTACACTGATGGTGGGAATGTAAATTAGTCCAACCATTGTGGAAGACAATATGGCAATTCCTTAAGGATCTAGAACCAGAAATACCATTTGATCCACCAGTCCCATTACTGGGTATGTACCCAAAAGAATAGAAATCATTCTACTATCAAGACACATGCACACATATGTTTATTGCAGCACTATTTACAACAGCAAAAACATGGAGCCAACCAAAATGCCCACCAATGATAGACTGGATAAAGAAAATGTGGCACATATACACCATGGAATACTATGCAGCCATAAAAAGGAATGAGATCATATCCTTTGCAGGAGCACAGATGAAGCTGGAAGCCATCATCCTCAGCAAACCTAACACAGGAACAGAAAACCAAAAACATGTTCTCACTCATAAGTGGGAGCTGAACATTGAGAACACCTGGACACAGAGAGGGGAGCAACACACACCAGAACCTATTGGGGAGTGTGAGGTGAGGGGAGGGAAATTAGAGAAGGGGTCATCATGTGTACCTACGTAACAAACGTGCATGCTCTACACATGTATCCCATGTTTTTTTAAGAAATAAATAAAAATTTTGACCTTTAAAATAATTATATATAACTTCCCATTGATTTGTATACAATATTAAAAAACACAAACACACATACTCTGCAAATGTCATCTGCCTCGTTCAAAGCATATTTACTAAATATTAACATTTCTCATATTTTATAAGCTTTCCTTGGCAAAATATAATAATTTTACTTCTCACTAAATATCTAAATACAAAATTCAGTAAAAGGATTTTTAATGTATTTTAAATCTAGTAGAGATAATATTTATACTATTTTCACTGAATTAATAAAAATATTCAATATATATGAAAAAGTTTTTTCTCAAAAATGTAATATACATTTGAGAAACAGAAAAAAATGTGTTAGAGGAATTTATTACTATATTTTAATATGAATATATTCAAAAATTGTATTTCTCAATATAATTTTAAAGAATCAAATATTTAAATTTATCATATCTATAGAAATGACTATAAAAATAGAAATATAATGGATATTGATGTTTCATATAATAATATACATCATATATTATAAAATGTTATTTCCCTTAATTTTTTGCAAGTTCTAAAACTCCCTGTATTGTATAGGGTATGATGAATAATATTAATAAAATGTTATGCTGAATTAGTGTTCTGAATGAGAAAAAGCACAAATCAAGAAATGTAATTTTAAAACAGTCACTATATGACAACAGAAATTATACTTTCAAGGTTAGTGAGTGCTTCCAAAAGCAATGTATCTAACACTGTTGTTAAAGTTTAGGAACAAGCCTGTAACAATTTGTGATATGATGCCATGTCAAGTACTTTTGCTTAAAATATAAATACAATCTTTGACAGAAAATGTTCCTCAGATATATAATAATACCCAAATTAATTTTTGAAGAAAGTTAGAAGTACAACTAGAAAGCTTTTTGCTTTTTCGGTTCTATAGCTATTTCACAAAACCTAAGAAAGAAAAATACAAATGCAATTCCTGTTTTCAAAATAACTCTCAGCAAAAGCAAAATATATGTGAATAATAGTATTCCATCATTTGAATAATATATTTACAATTTACATTTGCTTGCATATACAGACTTATGAGTATATGGATTATGGTACAGCTGTAGGTTGTAACCTACAAAAATGTAGTACTACATGTAATACAGTTTCTGCCAAATAATTGCTTAGGTAAACTCATATTAGCAAATATTATCTCCTTATAAGGTTAAATATTTTCTTAATATTGAGTAGTTATTTTAGTTTTACAAGGTATTAAAATAATATCTTTGATTTCTCATGTCCTACAATTACATGTGTAGATCCATTTATTCATCACAATATTCTCACGTATTAAATATTGTTATATGTGTTTAAAATAGCGTGAAAATGAGGTACATATAGAGAGTATATCTTAAAGTCATAGAATTGATGTTATCCTTTCAGCAGTTTGAAACCTCACATACTAGAAACTGCTTTGTAAAACTGACCCTATTAATTTACTACCCTTCAGTATCTGTTTCAGTTTCATACTCTGAGGATTGTTCTCTATGTGGGAGACAGATGTTTGTTTGATAATTCTTGGTTATGTATTACATCCTACTGCTGAAATGGCATAATTGCCTGAAGTAACATTTAAAGAGTTTAGTTCTGAAGTATGGTTGGTGGTGGGACTGTAAACAGACATAGTCTCTTCCTCACAGAATTTAATTGTCTGCTGGGAAAGATAGACATTCAAAATATAACTTTAATATAATATGGTAAAATAAGTAAAGAAGGTAACTTGAATAAAATTTGGTTTTGAAAGGGAAAATTACAAATTGTTTTATTCTACCTAAATTTTGCTAACCTACTGAGGTTCGGTGTTTCCTGTTAATTCACTATAACTTATACTAACCTGATAAGATAAATGCAGTATTTTGAAAGATCTAATGCAGGTATCAGCAAACATGTTCTGCAAAGGGCCACATGGTAATCATTTTACTTTTTGCAGGCCAAATGTATTTTCTGTCACATGTTCTTTTAGTAATTATTGTAAATAAGCTTTTTTAAAGATAGTTTTATATTTACAGAAAAATTAGGCACATACTATAGAGTTTGCTTATACCAACTGTACAGTGTTCCCTGTTATTCATGTATTATATTAATAAGGTTCATTTGTTACAAGTAATGTGAGGCAGGAGAATAGGGTCTGGAGGCAGGAAAACTAAGACCAATTCATGCTGACTTCCTAGAAATGAATCAAAAGGAAAACCCTACATCTCCACACCCGAGTAACAGAAGGATCAGACGCTACTTCCTTTGTGGCCACCATCCTTCTGCCTTACAGATGAAAAATGGAAAGTACCTCTGATTGGTCATCTCCCATGACCAGTCAGACTGGTTGCCAGCCACATCTTTATTTGCATAGGGTGTAAGTTTGTAACTTCACTTTAGCCTCTGAAGAAACCCATTAAACTAGTCATGGGCCACTCCTTCATTTACATAGGTTGTAACCAAGTAACCAATGGGAAACTTTTAGAGACTGTTTAAACTCCTGACAATTCTATAACCAGTGCTCTTGAGCTGCTTGCTTGAGCCCACTCCCACTCTGTTGGTGTATACGTTCATTTTAATAAATCTATACTTTCATTGCTTCATTCTTTTGTTTCTTTGTTTGTGTATTTTTTCCAGTTTTTCATTCAAAATGCCAAGAACCTGGATGACTCATACTCAAGACCCTCCATCAGTAACATAATGAGTCCATATTGTTAAATTATTAACTGGACTATAATTTATTTGTATTCCCTTAGTCTTTCTCTAATTTTCTTTTTATATTATACCATCCCATTAAAATATATCATATTTACATGTCACATCTTATTAGGTTCTTCTTGGCTGTGATGATTTCTCAGACTTTCTTTTTTTTTTCTCACTTTGAAAGCATTGAGGTATTCTGAAATATGCCCCTATAGTGGAATTTGTCTAATTTTTTTATGATTAGATTGGAGATTTGGGTCTTGGAGTGAAAGATCAAAGAGGTAAAATGCCATTTTTATTATATCATATTCAGGATACACATTATCAACATGATTTATAATTGTTGATGTTGACCTTGATCACCTGGCTGAAGTAGTATTTGCTAGGTTTCTCCATTACAAAGTTAATCTTTCCCTCCTCAACTTCTTTCTGTACTATTCCGTTTAGAGGTAGTCACTATACCTAGTGCACAGTTAAGGAGTGAGGTGTTATGCTCCCTCTTTTCCATATATTTTAAGTAGAATATACAAATAAAAACCATTCTTAGTTTATGGGCATTGCATAAACAAGCCCTTGGTTTACAGGTTGGATTTAAACTGCAGGCCATATTTTGCTGACCCTTGATCACTGGTTGTTTTTTTCTATTTGTGATAAATGACATATATAAAATATAAAGATGATATGCAGTAAAATGTATTTCTGAGTCTGTTACCTCAACTGCATTAAGGTTTAGAATATGCTTGAACTATAATTTTAAGGGTATTTTTACATTTATATTTCAATGCATGATAAATATGCTGCAGATACATGGTATAAAGTAAAAATTATATATTTATTTATTTTTTAGATTGTTTCGCAAATGCCTTAACAATATTTACTGAATTAATGCATAATTTTTCTGGTAGGAAGAAGGTTAGGAATTTATTCTTTGTCCACAAAATAATTCTTATCTCTTTCTTGATTCTGCCCACATTATCTGCACTTTGAAATGATTAATTTTGTCTAAATATAGATATGTTGTTTATGAATACAATGCAAAAAAATCTGAAAATAAGTATTAAGAGGATTATGATTCTAATTTATGCCTTATAAATTGTTGATGATAGCAAAGAAATATTTTTGATAAAATTTAAACAAATTGTCCCAATTGGAAAATAAATATAAGATATGCTCTAAAACTAAAAGAATATAAGCACTAAATATTCTTAACTTTTTAAAATGTATAAAATCCATGTATTTTGCCTATCAGTTTTTAATCTGTCTTTCTTATCTATGTATCTATCTATCTGTCTATCTCAGTACTTGCAAATAAAATGTTGGATAAAGCAAGATTCTGCAAGTCTTCAGTTAATCACCTCTGTAGAAGTAAAAGGCTTTACAAAAAAATAAGGTGCTCTTTGAAGCTGTGTGACAAAATTCAAAGAAGTGTGGCAATTTAAAACTTTCATAATAAGACAGAAATGTAAGAATATTGAGTAAGACATAAGATTTGAGACATAAATACATAAAATCACTCATGGTGAGAAAAACTAACATATTTTTCAGTTTATGTGTTTTAAATCTTTATTAGTTTATGTAAGTGTACATATCTCTAATGGTATTTGATATGGTTTGGCTGTGTCCCCACCTGAATCTCATCTTGAATTTCCATGTGTTGTGAGAGTTACTCATTGGGAGGTAATTGAATCATGGGGGAAAGTCTTTCCCATGCTGTTCTCAGAATAGTGAATAAGTCTCATGAGATCTGATGGTTTCAAAAAGAGGAGTTCCCCTGCACAAGGTCTCTCTTTTTGGCTGTTGCCATCCATGTAAGATGGGCCTTGCTCCTTGCTTTCTGTCATGATTGTGAGGCCTCCCCACTACATGGAACTGTAAGTCCATTAACCCTCTGTCTTTTGTAGATTACCTCGATTTAGGTATGTCTTTATCAGTAGCGTGAATACAGACTAATACAATGTTATTTACAATTTTTCTTATTTAGAAATTTAGAGTCCAGATGTGTAATGTTATCAATGGTGGAATAAAACCAAAAATTTTCAGTCTACAATTTAGTTATATTGTGAAACACCGAATATTAACCTAGAAAAACTCATGGGCCAAAACATCTTATAGTGATTGAAATCATCTTTAAACATACCAACTCAAGCTCCCTGATCATTCCCTACTGTGGGGAACGCTCCCGTGTGAGGCCCCCCAAAAATGGGCCTTACAATACGGAGGGCTCGAGCCCAGACACAGTGTCTCCAGTTGAGGGAGTCGAGCTATCGGAAAGCAGGAACAGAGAAAGACTTAGGTTAAAGTTAAACTTGTGGGCAATCGCCAGATGGCCATGCAGTCATGAGATGCATTGTGTACGATAATTGAGTTTTCTACTAAGTCATGTTTTACAACTTTGCTGATTTTCTCTAGAAGATAAATGACTTACCCTTAGATGAGATAGTGTGACAACCTGTTCTGGTTAATTAAATGACTTGCCCCTAGATGAGATAGTGTGACTACCTGTTCCAGTTAATTGTGTATCTGACCTTTCCATTGTTCTTACCCTATGATGCTGATTTTTCTACTTTAAAACTTTCTGTACCCCTTTGTCTCACGTAGGCACATACCTAAAAAAGATATATATATATATATATATATATATATATATATATATATATACTGACCCTGAGCACGAATAAAGTTGTTGGTAAAGCATATGCTTTTCAACCCTTCAGACCCCATCTATCATTCTTTGTCTTCCGCGCACCCCCCATCCAAGTTGGAACCCTCTTGCAGTCCGAGAGCTCCTGGCAGACGTGCTCCCGTTACCCTACCTGCCACCTATAACTCTATAGTGAAAGCAAAGGTGTTCATTCATTTATGAAACTAATTAATAATCATATGTTTAAAAATATGCTATTCTTAATTTAATCTCCTTATAAGAGTAAGAAGAATCAAAACTGGTAAAGATTAAGAGTTTCAGACTATTCCCCTGACTTCCTCACAAAAAAATGGACTACCAAAATTTGATTACATGAGAAGCCAGAAGCTTAGTACGAGCTCTTTGTACAGTTATATATAATAGCTCATATTTCTACCCAGGTCAAATAAGTCTCTCTTTCTGGAACCTCTAAGCATAGTCAACATAAGCATGAAGATTTGTTTATGAATTCCATGAGTTTGTGAAAAGCTGGCATTATTCTGTAACTCATTTGCTCGCTGACCGATTTTGCTATGTTTTTTCTATTCCTGAGCCACTGTCAGACTATTGTAAGTAGTTTATGTGGGAATATATTTAATTGATGGCAATATAATATTTCCTTCTCACTCTCCCCTTCAGAAATGTTTCTATGTGCACTGATTTATTCTTCCAAGTAAATTAAAAAAAAAAAAAAACAAACTTAGTCACATTTTCAATTTTTTTTTAATTTGTTGGAAATAATAAATTTATAATTTTAGTAAAAACCTTAAATACATAATTACGCTATTGTCATACTAACAAAGAATGTTGAAAGTGACAGCAGGAACACCATCATCTTGGACAAACACCGCCATTTTAAGTTCTGGCTCCCTTTTTAGCCTTATGCATTTCAGGGAAACCACTTCTCTTCTAACAGCAGGCAGCCTAAAAGAGCAGACAGTAAAACACAGATAAGACAGTTAATGCAAGGAAGGAGGATTAAAGTCTCTTGGGTAACCACCAAATTTCACCCTCATGTAATAGGCCCCAGTAAAACGGTGGACCCAAATAAGCACATTCTTTACCCTTTCAGTGCACTAAGATGGGGAAGCTAAAAACAGACTCAGGGATTATGCCTGCAGCTGCAGGAAGATATATGGGAGCAAACACACAACTCTCCCTCCCACATAAGCAAGATGAGGAGACACAGAAACATTCAGAGGCTGTAATAAGCTCTCCCGCTCTGAACTCTTAATTCTTAACCACTCCTGAACCTACTTGGCCAGAAGGCCCTCTCAGGTTTATTCTTTAAAATAAACCTGTCTCTATTAAGCTGCTTTTCATGTTTCTTTCTTCATTCTTCAGCTCTTACAGAAGGAAAAGTAGAAGGTGTGAACTTATTTAAATTTTCATCTAGAGAATAATAAACTGGTATCAGATGAGTGCATTAACACATAAATATTGATATTTTGTACTTTTACTTTGTAACTTGTCACTTAAGTGAATCTTATTTTTAGATATAATAGCTTTCTAATTGATTTATTTAAAGTTTAAAGGTAGACTATTATGTCAACTGCTGATAATGGAAATTTTAATCTCTTACAAAATAAATTAGCTAAATTTCCAGGAGATAATAAATCATATTAGTAACTGTGGGACTCAACTTTTTAGTCTTTCCTCTACCTAAGCTAAGCCAGGTCTTCTCTCTGCTGGTGACCTGCATCTTACTTCACTACATTTAATGGAAAGAATATGTATTGACTCTTTATTATTTTAAAATCCTTTAACTTAAATGTAGCATCTTTCTAAAAAAACTTTGAATAGAATTTAGATATAGGATTCTATAAATGGAAATAATACCTGTGTGTTCATTATGTGAAGAAAAACTGTTACTTTTCTCTTTTATATTTCTATAAGTTAAACATGTTATTGAAAATGTATCAAATACATGTAAAACAAGATTCTTTTCCTATTAAATACATTGTACAAATATTGAAACAGCTTAATGGATATTAGGTGTTCATGATTACTTTGTACCCTGTCCTCTATCCATACAAAACTTATTTTTGGCCCAGTGCAGTGGCTCACATCTGTAATCTCAGCACTTTGGAAGGCTAAGGCAGGCAGATCACTTGAGACCAAGAGTTGGAGACCAGCCTGGCCCATATGGTGAAACCCTGTCTCTATTAAAAATATGAAACTTAGCCAGGCATGGTGACATGCACCTGTAGTCGCAGCTACTTGAGAGGATGAAGCGGAAGAATTGCTTGAACCTAGAAGGCAGAGGTTGCAGTGAACTGAGACCATGCCACTGCACTCTAGCCTGGGAGACAAATCAAGACTCCATCTCAAAAATAATAATAATAATAATAAAGATAAAAATAACATAAACAGTAAAAAAAAAAAAAAACTCATCCTTAAATATCTTTAAGAGCTATATTTTGTAATTTTGCTTTATAAACATAGTTTTTATCTGGCTTGGGGGCATTATTTAAAATTCATAATTTAGGGTATTTGTTATTCTTAAGAAAACACATGGATCTATAAACGAATTGTCATGTGCAGAACATCTGTGTTATGAATAAAGTGAATTTGAGTATTTATCATTTGAAAATCTAGTCTTATAGTTTTGATCTGAATTTTATAGTATTACATGATTTTTAATAAATTTTATAAATACTATTTCATAACTATTTTCAACCACATTCAACTGAAAAACATTCCTTTTGTTATCGATTTCTCCAATAATTATTTTTCCACATTTTCTTAATTTTAGATACCCAGAAATGTACCTACATATTGTGTCTGAATTTTTTAATGAATGGCAAAATGAAATAAATGTAATTCTCTAATTGGTCTTCTAATTCAAATCATTATGCAACATTAAAAGTCACAATTAGATGTTTCTACTTTTGATATTAAATCAAACAGAATTACTTAAACTAATGTGAGGTAAGAGTGACTTAGACTGAATCTATGACCTGGTCTATTTTGGTTTGCTGTATCAGCAGTGAAACTGCAAGCCAGTAAATATGTCAATTAAAAGTTGTGAGCAGGTTAATTTAAATTGATTTCCAAATGCTTCCCTTTCTGAGAAAAAAAAAATATGGGCATTTTAGTAAAGCACTTGAATCACTGAAGAAAGGAATGATATACTGATTTCTCTTACATCTTCAGGTGGAATATTTCTGAAGTATTTTATAAAAATAAAATCTTAATTGACATTATTTACAAAACAAAATTATAAACAAGACTGCAGGGCATGTGTAGAAATATTTATTTTTGTTAGGGTTATGGGGTATTTTAAGTGCCTTTCCCTATTTTTCTAATTATTAGAGTGATGTTTTATGTTAATTTATAATTTGCAGTTTTTAATGAAATATACATATTAGCTAAAGTTGATATTTAAGCTAACAAACACCAACTATAATTTTTCATATCTTACATCATTCTGATAGTAGTTTCCACCCTGAATAAATGCACAGTTTCAATTAGTTCACAATCCCCGCTAAATCTTAGATGATTTTCAGATACTAGTATCAGATTCCAGATACTGGCTTTTCTACACTAATTGTCTATGTTCATTATAACAGCAGCATCTCAATATGTGACTTCACAATACACTGCGTTGAGAGCCAATAAAACTGCTTATAGCATACAATCTCTAGCATTGTATTTTATTGGCAGGAAGTGTCATATGGCCATACAGGAATGCAGAAGGTCTGATTAATATACAATGGCAAATGAATTACTGAGTGAGCAGTAATTTTTCTTTATGTTTTTGTTGTCAAACACCTCTTTGTGTCTGTTTGTGCCCTTTATTCTTTCTTTCAACATATAATGCACACTCATTCCTCCCTGAGGAAAACAACCTAAAAATTAATTCATTCGCTATATCCAGCTGAAATCATAGAATCTCTGGGTGCTGAGAGTGATTTTGATAACAGGTCTGGCTGTGGCTCTTATTAACCTGAAAAACTATGAACGATAGGACAAATTATCTTCCCCGTACACATTCCCTGTACTAGATAGTGAAATAAAAACTGGATATCTGCACTGAAGTTGCCTGATCAGAAAGGAAAATGTAAAAGATTCTCAACAGTCCTTTGACTACAACTTTTCTGCAATCCTAGATAGGTATTGTGAGCAGCACCAGTCATAGTGTTGGTGGATATTCATTGATGAGACCCTGATTTTGATGTACAGGTCTTCTGCCATGGCGCATTGCATTCTATTGTCTTGGTCCTGAACTCAGAGAAATTCTTCTTTTCCTCATAGTCATTTCCTTCTTATCCACAAGAGGTTAGTTCTAAGGCTTCAATGGATGTCTAACATCACAAATATTATCAAACTCTATATATTCTATGAATGAATTTGTTTTTCCTTCTTCACAATTTTATAAGTATAAGATTCATTCTTACCATATAGATATTAGCAACTTCAGTTATACCATTTTTTTCTCTTTTTTTGTTGTTAAGATCTTTCCATTTTTCATTTCAAGGAAGTACTTTATGACTTCTCTTTGGCATATCTGAATTGCCAGCATCACTACTCTTGTACTTTGGGAAAATACAAGAGTACTTGATTAATTGAGAAGAAACAAACTGAAT